AACGAATTAATCACCAGCATACCTGTACTACAAAAAAGAAGTTAATGCAAGTCTTTCATATAAAAAGGAAATTATACCAAATGGGAATACAGACCCACGTACAGAAACAGGAAGCCCCAGAAATGGTTAAATATATACATGGGTGAACATACGACACATTTTTCACAGTACTGATATCACTTTAAATGATAGATAACTTGAAAATAATAATGATGTAGAATGGAGTTTATAACATACATCAACGTAAAATCCATGGCAACAACAGCGAAAGAGCTGGGACAGGAGAAAGGAAAGTAGAGGGCTGTGGGCTTCTCTTTGTAGAGGAGGAGATATAAAATCATAGAACTGCAGACTGTTGTAAGTTAAAGATGCACACAGGGAAAACAGAAAGTTCCTGAAAAATAAAATTAAAGAGTAAGGTTGAAGGACCCAGCAGGTGGCATAGCAATTATGTTGCTGGACTCCCACATGGCCAACCATGGTTACTGTCCTAGACCCAATGGCTTCAAAATCACATGGGGTACAGGTGTGCCCAAGATCCTGGGGAAGAGAATGGAGAAGGGACTGCGGTATGGTCGTCCCCTGGGGGGTGATTTCTCACTTATGAGAGACAGAGAGAGAGAGAGAGAGTGCACATGTGCCCTAAGGCAAAAACCTCTCAAAAAAAAAAAATATATATATATATAAAATCATAGGATGGTAGACTATAGCATATTAAAGATGAACAAAGGGACTATAAAAAGTTCTTGGAAAAAAACACAATTAAAGCTCTCTTTTTCTGGCTGGAACCATGAAGGGAATTCAAGAGAAGAAAAAGAATGTTCCTGCTGTGGCAGAAACCAAGAAAAAGGCTCCTGCTGTGGCAGAAGACACCAAGAAAAAGGTTCCTGCTGTGACAGAAACTCTTGAGAAAAAGCGAAGGAATTTTGCATGACCTGCAGATCAAGCGCCTGAGAAAGAAGTTTGCTCAAAAGATGTTTTGAAAGGCAAGGAGGAAGTTTATCTAATGAAAAAAGCTAAGCACTGTCATAAGGAATATAGACAGATGTACAGAACTGAGATTCGCATGGCCAGGATGGCAAGAAAAGCTGGCAACTTCTATGTACCTGCAGAGCCCAAATTGGCATTTGTCATCAGGATCAGTGGTATCAATGGAGTGAGCCCAGAAGTTTGAAAGGTGTTGCAACTTCTTTGTCTTCTTCACCAGATCTTCAATGGCACCTTTGTTAACCTCAACAACGCCACAATTAACATGCTGAGAATTGTGGAACCATTCATTGCATGAGGGTACCCGAACCTGAAGTCAGTCAATGAACTGATCTGCAAGCTTGGTTATAGCAAAATCAATAAGAAGCAATTTGTTATGATAACTCTTTGATTGCTCAATCTTTGGGTAAATTTGGCATCATCTGCAAGGAGGATGATTCATGAAATCTATATGATTATAAAACACTTCAAAGAAGCAAATGACTTCCTGTGGCCCTTCAAATTGTCTTCTCCATGAGGTGGAATGAAGAAAAAGGCCACCCATTTTGTAGAAGGTGGAGATGCTGGCAACAGGGAAGACCAGATCAACAGACTCATTAGAAGGATAAACTAAGGTATCCACCATGGTTATTTTATAATCTGGTCAGTAAGTAAACCGAACGGCTGTTTTCACACTGCAGTATATTGTTGTATTAGTAACTTTTTTGTTAGCTTGCCTTCTCCTAACTGTTGTGGCACATCTTAGTGCTTGGTAAAATTAAGCCAAAACTTCTGCAAGACTAGAATCCATTTTTTACTTTGTGAAAATCACTTAGGGACTTTTGAAAAGCTTTTCCTATACCAGAAAGGCTAATGTTTCCCCCCTTTGAATTGTGCTGACTAAAAATAGGTTTATTCGAAGAAAAGTGATTTCAAGGCATTCGTGCATGATTTGTAGGTAAGGTAATAAAATAAAGGTCAATTCACCACTATACACACGCACGCACGCACACACACACACACACAATCAAAGAGTAAGTTTGGAGGCGCCAACAGGTGGTGTAGCGGTTGAGGTGCTGGACTCCCACACGGTCAGCCACAGTTAAGAGTCCTGGACTCAGAGCCTGGAGGTTTGAAACTCACGCTAAGCACGTGTGCGTGAGTGCCCAACATCTCAAAAAAAGAATGGAGGAGAAAGAGTGCTGAGCAGTCCTCCTCTGAGAGGTGATTTCTCACTTTCTCTGTTTATGTCTGTCTCTCTGGAAAATGCATACACCTACAGCAAAAATTTCCCTAAAACAAAAAAAAAGTATAATATTGGGCCAGAAGGTAGCCTGGAGGTTAAGATGCTGGACCCCACATGACCAACTGCTGTTCAAGTCCTGATCCTGGCAGCTCTCTCTCTCGATCTCAATCTCGATCTCTCTCTCTCTCTCTCTCTGATGAGTGCATGTGCTTTTAGCAATTTTAAACAATAAATATAATGAAATAATTATTTTTTAAAAAAAGAATAAAGTGGGAACCAGCAGTTAGCGTAATGGCTATGTCGCTGGACTCCCACATAGTCGACCGCAGTTCGTGTCCCGGACGCGGTGGCTTAAAACTCACGCTGGGCACGTGTGCGTGTGTGCCCAAGATCCTGAGAGGAGAATGGAGGAGAAGGGATTGCGGCGTGACCATCCCCCTGGGGGGTGATTTCTCGCTTTCTGTCTCTATGTCTCTCTCTGTCTGGCGAGCGCACGTGCCCTATAGTGAAAATCTCTCCAAAAAATACAAATTAAAAAATTTAAAAAAATAAAAAAAGAATAAAGTTATTTTGGTGAAAAAAAAAAAATTAAAATCCATGCAATTTTTTCTTTTTGCCAGAGAACACATATGCTTTGTGCTTTGGTGTTTTTTGGTTTTTGGCTTTTTTTTTGTCAGATGGTATGTACACTCACCAGTAAGAGACAGAGAGACAGAGAGAACTTCCCAATGGGACATGGTCATTATACAATCTTTTTTCCTCCAGTTCTCTATCCTTGCAGGATTTTAAGTATACATATGTGTGCCCAGCATGTTTTCAAGTCACTGGGGCCAGGACTTAAACCTTAGTTGACTGTGTGAGATCTGGCTTGTTGTGCATAGTGCTTAACTTACACCCTACGGGGCCAGCCTACTTAATTTTTTTCATATTGTGTATTTTTCAACAACTTTTTAAAGATCATTCATATATTGTAAGCTCTAAAACAATCATGAAAATAACAAGATGAATTGTTGCAGCTGGTGGGGGACCAGCAGTTAGCATAATGGCAGTGTCGCTGGACTCCCATGTAGTTGACCTCGGTTCAAGTCCCGGACCCGGTGGCTTAAACTCACGCCGTGCACACGTGCGTGCATGCCCAAGATCCCGAGAGGAGAATGGAGGAGAAGGGATTGCAGCGTGTCCATCTCCCCCGAGGGGTGATTTCTCACTTTCTATCTTTCTGTCTCTCTCTGTCGGTCTGGCGAGCGCACGCGCCCTATAGCAAAAACCTCTCAAAAAAAAAAAAAAATAGTTGCAGCTGGTATGCAACAAATGAGATAAAATATAATACCAAAAAATACTAACCTAATACAAAAGAAGGCAGGAAAAGATAACCAGAAACAATGTACAGAAAGGACAAACATCAACATGAATAGAGTTAAAACTAATCATGTTTAAATTAAATTAAATGTAAATAATCTAGTTACTCAACTGAAAGGCAAAGATTTTTCTGAAAAAGAAAGTGATGAGGCTAATTCCTGGCCAAAGACCTGTGTGTGATTTTTCATGTCCAAGTACAGGAAATCACAGAAGCTTTAGCTGGTAGGCCTCAGGGGAAAAAGCTTCCCTCCCACACGGGACTTGGTGCACACCCACCACACTCCAGTATGTCTAAGAGGACTGGCAAGAAAATTTTGCAAAGCATATATTTAATAAAGGGTTTTTATCTTGAACAGATAATTCCATCAACCCATACACTTACACATATTTGCACGCACAGCCCAGGCACTTCTATATAAAGACCTTTTCATTGGGGCCTTTGCAGAAGACCTTACCCAGAATCATCTATAATTCTTGATAGTAAGTAAAAGGGCACAGATTTTGGAAAATAGTTAGACAAGTTTTTTACCATCCATCTAACATAAGATCTTGCCAATCCATTCTTAGGATTTACCTAAGAGAAAGAAAGCATATTTTTATACAAAGACTTACACATAAATAATTGTAGCAGCTTTTTTAGTGAAAGCCTAAACTCAAAACAACCCAAATGTCCATCAACAGGTGATTGGAAAACAAGGTCAATAGTGCCATAAAACAGAATACTACTCAGCAAATAAAAAGAAATAAGCTCTAGGTCCATGATACAATATGGATGAATCGCAAAATAATCATTCTGAGTAAATGAAGCCAAAGAGAAAAGGCAGCCCATACAACATGATTCATTTACACAAAATTCTAGAAAACACCGGGACCAGCAGTTAGCATAATGGCTATGTCGCTGAACTCCCATGTAGTCGACCACAGCTCGTGTCCTGGACCCAGTGGCCTAAACTCATGCCAGGCGTGTGTGCCCAAAATACTGAGAGGAGAATGGAGGAGAAGGGATTGCGGCATGGCCATTGCCCCTGGGGGGTGATTTCTCTCTTTCTGTCTCTCTGTCTTTCTGGCTAGTGCACGTGCCCTACAGCAAAAACCTCTCAAAAAAAAAAAAAAAATCTAGGAAACACCAAGTGATACATACACAGAGATAGAAAACAGATCATTGGTAGCTTAGGTGAAGTAATGAAAAAGATGAAAGGCAGAAAGGAGGGGAATACAAAGATGCAAAAGAAAACATCCAGGGATGACATATTATCTTAACTGTACCAGTGGATTCACAGGAATATGCATATTTCAAAACTTATCAAACTGTTTAACATGTGCAGTTTACTGTTAGTCAATTATGACTAAATGAAACTGTCAAAAAATAAAAAGAGTAGTACTTCTTAACTGTCATATACAAGTATAAATAATCTTGTTTATTACTTACTTCCGACCAACGTGTCTAGTCAGTCGAACCATCAGCTGGCGGGCCTCTTCTGAGCTAGACTGAGTATTCTTAACAAATGAAATTGGTTTCTCAAGTCCATGTTTTTCCAAAATTTCTGACACACTATAAGTGAAAGAGAATTATTTAGCATCTCACTATCAAAGAGTCTAAGGATTTTAGGTATATAAGAATAATTTGATGATGAGTATTTAAAAAAGAAAAAGTACCTCAGTATCTCACAGAATGGCCCAGCTTTACATGTAATATTAACGAATTCTCATCACAAAACCACTACTAGTTGTGTATCAAATCTTATTTTCTACTTGTATTAGAATATTTTCATAGAGGAACCAGCAGTTAGCGTAATGGCTATGTCGCTGGACTCCCACGTAGTCAACTGCGGTTCGTGTCCCAGACCCGGTGGCTTAAAACTCATGCCAGGCGCGTATGCATGCGTGCCCAAGATCCCAAGAGGAGAATGGAGAAGAGATTGCGGCGTGACCATCCCCCCTGGGGGGTGATTTCTCACTTTCTGTCTCTATGTCTCTCTCTGGCTGGCTGGCGAGCGTACATGCCCTACAGCGAAAACCTCTCCAAAAATAAAAATAAAAAAAAGAATATTTGCATAGAAAAATATGTCATGACTTTCCTAAAGACCTACTTAGACTAAGTAAAGACTTTTAAAAAACATGATATATCTTTATCTCAGATATTCTCTTCACAATTTCCCTGTAACCTACAAACATCAAATCAGTAACAGTAAGTCAAATCTATCATTTCAGTACCCAGTTTAAATTCTTAACAGTTCTATTGAGTATTTAATTATACACATGGGTACTAGAAAAACAACAAAGAACTTTAGAATTGGAGAGCCAGAAAAAGACACTGATGGCTCAGCCTCCCTCCAGAATCTGTCCTAGGGGCCAGGAGAAAACACAGTAGGAACATACATGGACCAGCATGAGAAAAGTTCTAGGGTCATGATCCAGGATTTTCCTAAGCATGGCAGACACACATGTTCATGCCTATAAATCAGGCCACCTGAAAATGGAGGCATATTACCATGTGAGGACCCTGTTGTGGATACTTGTCTCTGTCATTCTCTCTCTCACAAAAGTCATGAATAAACTTTTTTAAAAAATCCATTCTATAAAAATACATGTGTCACAAATTCCCATGTTCTCATACTAATCTTCTTGAGATAGCCCATTCCAGTGACCAGCAGTTAGCGTAATGGTTATGTCGCTGGACTCCCACGTAGGCGACCGTGGTTCACGTCCCGGACCCAGTGGCTTAAAACTCACGCCGGGTGCGTGTGCGTGCGTGCCCAAGATCCCGAGAGGAGTACGGAGGAGAAGGGATTGCAGCGTGGCCATCCCCACTGGGGGGTGATTCCTCGCTTTCTGTCTCGCTTTGGCTCTCTGTCTGGAGAGCGCACGAGCCCTATAGCAAAAAACCTCTCAAAAAAAAAAAAAAGAGATAGCCCATTCCATAACCATCAAATCCTATACATACTTGGTATGTCTCACCAAATATCACATCTATGAGTTAACTACTACTGATCTAATAGAGTGACAAAACAGACTTCAAAATTCTTCATAAAGGTAGGTTTCAATGGGACCAGCAGCTGGCGTAAAGGCTATGTTGCTGGACTCCCATGTAGTCAACCGTGGTTCGAGTCCCAGACCCGGTGGCTTAATCTCACGTTGGGCACATGTGCATGCATGCCCAATATCCCAAGGGAAGAATGGAGGAGAAGGGACTGCAGCATGGCCATCTCCCCTGACGGGTGATTTCGCGCTGTCTGTCTCTGTCTTTCTGGCAAGTGCACACACCCTGTAGCAAAAACCTTTCCAAAAAAAAGAGAGAGGTTTCAAGAGTTAGGTCCCTTGACATGGTGTATACTAAACCCTTTATTATCTATCTGTGGCTATAGGTGGAACAGGAATAAAATTTCTTATTCTGAAAGGTGGGTACATTAAGCTGAATAGAGGAAGGCCTAAGTATCATCCAGGAACCTAGGAGTGTTTCCTTGCGGTTCTAGGGATATAAACTAGCTATGAGGACCACCCAGGGTTTACACCACAAACCTGTGGTGAAATTAATGATGTCTATTTCACTTGCTCACTCTCTCTCTCTCTCTCTCTCTCTGAGTCACCTCCATTTAAGCAGAGAAACAGAGGTAACTAGATTTGGAAGGAATTAATCTATATTCTCTTAACCAATAAGCTTTATTTAGTAAACTACACTGAATTTTAAGGGCGGTTAGGGGGAGGAGAACACAAGTCAATTTATAATAGGAAAAACTGGACTTATTAAACAATTTTCAAGAACTACAACTTGGCAGTTAAATGTGGCACATGGACAGCCACACCCACACTGGTGGCCGTGGTCTGACGCCTGGCCCCAGCAGCTTGTAGGACACTCAGGCACACATGAATCCATGCCTGGGATCCTGACGTGATGGGGACAGGGAGCTGCAGTGTGACTGCAAACCACTGGGCGTACTTCCTCTATCTCTCCCCCACCTCCCTCTAATGAGCACCCCACCCTCTAGCAATTAAAAAAAAAAAGGAAAAAACAACTGTGAAACTTTCAGAACACAGAGTAACAAGAGTCAGACTAAGTATCAATAAATAGAAATCCTAAGGAAACTGAACAGTTAATTCTTAATTAAACTCATCTATCATGGAACACAAAAAGATTGTTTTCTCTAAATACAACTTGAAATATTTTTGCACTAAAGTCCCTTAATTTGAAAGAATAAAATTTTGAATTACTGGATTTCAAACTATTATATCTTATACATACTGCAACTACTAAAGTGATGTATTTCTATAATTATATATTAAAAGAACAAAGATTAATTGTGATACTTAAAATTTCATTTCTATATAATATTTAAAAGTCAGGGCTGGGGTCAGCAGATGGCATATTGGCTAAGGCTGGGCTCCCACATGGCTGACCGTGGTTTGAGTCCTGGACCCAGTGGCTTGAAAATCACACCAGGTGCATGTGTGCGCATGCCCAAAATCCCAGGAAGAGAAAGGGGCTGCAGTGTGGCCATCCCCCCAGAGAGTGATTTCTTACTTTCCCTCTCACTGTCTCTCTCTGGTGAGTGCACACGCCCTGTGGAAAAGGGCAACCCCCCGTTGGAAAAACTAAAAAAAAAAAAAAAAAAAAAAAAAAAGTCAGGGCCATCCTCATAGCTAGTGGCTAAGAGAGTCAGATCCCACATGGCTGACCACAGTTCAAATCCTAGCCCAGGCAGATTGAAAATCAAACCACAAACATGTGTGTGCATGCCCAAATTCCCAACATGCAGGAGAAATAGAGAAGGGATGGCAGTGAGACCAGGCCCCAGTATAGGGTGCTTTCTCCTTCTCTCTCTCACTCTGTCTCTCTCTCTAGTGAGCAAACATGCTCTCCAGTAATTTTTAAAATTACTCACACATATTATATACACATAAAAAATAAATACTGGCAAATTGTACTACACTTCGTAAATGGCTAAATAAGAACCTTTGATCTCCCAAAGAGACAGTTGAAGATTTTATTATGAAAGTAAACAATATTTTTTTTTCTTTTCTTTTTTTTTTTTGGAGAGTTTTTTGCTAGAGGGCACGTGCGCTCGCCAGAAAGTCAGAGAGAGACAGAAAGCGAGAAATCACCCCCCAGGAGGGATGGCCATGCCGCAATCCCTTCTCCTCCATTCTCCTCTCGGGATTTTGGGCATGCATGCACACGCGCCCGGTGTGAGTTTAAACCACCGGGTCTGGGATGCAAACTGCGGTCGACTACATGGGAGTCCAGCGACATAGCCATTACGCTAACTGCTGGTCCCAGTAAACAATATTTTATAGTGAGTTACATGAGAGGGCTACTGCAGGGTGTCATAATCTGGATAATCACGTGACCATACTATGCTCTAAGAAGAGAAGTAGGAGAACGCCAAGAGTCAGCTGCTGACAGACGTAGGAACTGCTATGGGAACGTGTCTACATTGGGTGACACACTTAACATGCTTACTTAAGCATTAATTCCACCATCTGATGAGTTAGATATTATGGATTAGAAAACCCTAGGCTCAAACCCTTACATCAGTAGTGAGTGGTAATGTCTAAATGTGAACACATGGTTTTCCATTTTCAAACCCCACGTCCTTGTTACTGTACCATTCTCCTAGAATAAGGGAGCAATGCATTGATTATTAGACCATTCTTCCCAAGAGTGCCAAACAGATATGAAAGTCAGCTGGGAAAAAAAGGGGCCAGTCAGTGGCACAGTAGTAGTGCAACACTGCAATGGCAGACCTGCATGGGAAGGTCTAGGGTTCAAGACCCAAGGCCTCCCCACACACACTAGCCACGCACATACCCACGTCTGGGATGGCTGAGGGTGGATCATACCATGAAGAACCCGTTGGAATTACCTGTGTCTCTGTTCCTGCCTTTCATAGAAGAAATAAACTTTTAAAAAATTGGAAATAAAGGACTAATAGGCAGAGTGAAAGAAACATTTCTTGAGCAGATCCCTTTAGTCAGAACAGAGCAGAAGGACTACCACTTTTCTCACCTTAGAATTTGTTCCAGTTGGTCTACCTTGTCATGCAGAGTTGTGGTCATCTCTGTCCTAGGACTAAAGAATTAAAAGAAAACAATTAAGTTTTAATAGTGACTTTTTTAATAAAATACAAAACTCAATTTAGTGGAAAAAAAAGATGTTCCAGAGAACTATTGTGATATTATGTAGTATTTCACATTGTTAGGTATCATAATACTTGATATTTAATAATATAACCCTATCCAGATAACATTTCAGGCTTATCTCCTGAATTTATTGAACATTGTTCATGATTCAAGATAAAGATTAAAAAAATACTGGAATAGACCAATATTGTCTATTAAGAGATTTGTCAGATGGAAGTAACTATTTAAGGTTCTTTTGGTTCAGTTCTGCTCAAGGACAAAAAACAATTATAAATTATTGTCTTTTTTTTTAAGAAGTAATGTATAAAGCAGTATCAGTCATTATTTTTTAAAACCAGTAAAACAAATGAGGAAGCGTGGCCACGTTGGCGTTCTCCTAGGCCTTTCTGCACCACGTAGGGTCCCTCCTAGAAAGTTTCCATTAGGATTTGTATTCGGGGGAGTTCTCCCATATAATCACTCAGTCTGCATCAAGGGAATCAGATCCACTTCAACATTAAGGAGTCAGAAAGAAGTACACCCTTTATATAGCTAAACACCCTTTCAGCAGGCAACTAGGGGAAACATCATGAAAAAGCTCACAACTAATAAAAACGTGGCTGTCAGGACAGATTAAGTATGGCATAACACACATGCAAGAGAAACAGAGATACAGTGGAAAAGCTCAGCAAGTGCGATAAAAGCAATTTATCCTAAACAAATCTGTGTCACATACGCTTTCAGCTGAGAACACCTGCACCTGGCACCCTCAGGAGACTTAAAACAATTCTCCAACTGAGTTCCTGCAAAGGTCTTAGGTTCTATTAACAGAAAGCCCAAATAACTTCCTGAAAAATTAAAAATATCCAAATTGAAACACAAAAGCATTATTTTTTTTAATGATCAATCTTCCCTGATTTAAATCTATGTGATGATTATTTAGTGCAACTTAGATAATTACTTTTTTTATTTTCTTGGCCATAGGGTATATGCTCACTGGAGAGAGACAGAGAGGGAAAGCTGAGAAATCATTCCCCATGGGAACGGCCATACTGCAATCTCTTCTCCTTCATTCTCTTCTTGGGACTTTGGGCATGTACACACATGCAACCTGCATGATTTTCAGGTCACCAGGTCCAGGCTTCAATCATGGTCGGCCATGGGGGATCCAGCACCTTAACCACCATGCCACCTTCTGGCCCAAGATTACACTATCTTTTCAAACTAAGTTTCAGACTTTGGGCTAAGAGTGATAATTTAAATATACTAACTAAAGTCCTTCAAAAGGTCATTTGTCAGAGCTAATTTCTATTATATACTCATTCATCAGTAATATTTTTTAATTTACTGTTTTAATGCTGTACAATAAATATTCTTCATAAATATTCAAAAATACAGTGTTCCTCTCTGGATTGAAATTTACATACATAATGACTAAAGATTTTTCAGCCAAATGGAATAACTGCCTACATAAGATACATCAAGATTTAATTATATTAATTAAGTAAGTTATTCTTCATTTCTTAAATGGCAAATATATACACAAGGAATAGTTTACAATTTGGTGAATGGCAACTATTTTAACCATTAAAAACAAACAACAAATGAATAAAAGAATATAAACTGACAAATTTGGCATGTAGGACAGAGAACCACATAAAATGTTTTGAGTGCTATATTTTAACACTGAGCTAATTTATAATTACAAGTTATTTGGAAAACTAGAAAAGTGAAATACAATCATTAGGAAATAAATGGAATAACAAAATAGCTTTAAGCCAGCATTTGCTTTTACATTAAATGTTAGGTCAAAAATCATGGGAACCAGCAGTTAGCGTAATGGCTGTGTAACTGGATTCTCACGTAGTCGACAGCAGTTCACGTCCTGGACCCGGTGGCTTAAAACTCACGCCGGACGCATGTGCGTGCGTGCCCAAGATCCAAAGAGGAGAATGGAGGAGAAGGGATTGCAGCGTGACCATCATCCCCCTGGGGGGTGATTTCTCGCTCTCTGTCTCTCTCTGTCTGTCTGGCGACCGCACGCGCCCTACAGTGAAAAATCTCTCAAAAAAAAAAAAATCATTAATCCAGATTTTAGAAATGTTTTCAGCTACAGATACATGAGAGACATTTCTCAGCCTACACACTCTTCAAAAACAAATATATAGGCACCATCAGATGGCATAATGGTTATGTTGCTGGACTCGCACGCAGTTGACCATGGTTCAAGTCCTAGACCCAGTGGCTTAAATCTCATGCTGGGTGCGCATGTGTGCATGCCCAAAATCCAGAGAGGACAATAGAGGAGAAAGGGTTGCAGCGTGGCCACCATCCCAGGGCGGAGGGGGCTTATTTCTCACTTTCTGTCTCTCGGTCTCATCGCTGTCTCTCCAGCAAGCTCATGCGCCCTATAGTTTTAATCTCATCAGTCTATTGCTACCATGGCCATCTCCTCATGGTAGGCAAATTACTGTCTGAAAATGAACAAGAAAGCTCCAGTTGATATTTATGTTATTTAATGTTATCGAAAATGAACTCTAATAGGTTACATTCAAAACGGTACATAGGAGTGGCAGTCCACACTTAGCCAAGTTGCCTTAGGAAGAAGAAGTGAGGTATTAGCTGACTGAGCACCCGTCCTGACCCATTAAAGAGGAAGCTCCCACCACGAGGCTCTGTGGGGAGAGAGTAAGGCAGGGCTTCTGCAGGTCTTGTTGCCCTCTAGGGAGCAGCAATTTAACCATGGCGCCTGATACCCATTAGGTTGAGATTTTTTTATACGATAAGTAATGACCTTTTGCTACAAAAATCTATTAAGACAATCCACTTCACCTGCCTTCTGCTGCCCACTAGGGGCCTGTGGTTCTCAGAGGCACTCTGTGATTTGGATAATAGTCTGTCCCCCAAGGTTCACATTTTGTAACTCAGCTCCAGAGTAATGACATCGAGAGGAATGGACCAACGGGATCATGAAAGCACTGGCCTCATGAATGGATTAAGGAGGTCTTGTGTAAGACTGACTGAGCTCTAACTCTCACAAGAAGGGATTAATTCTCACAAGAGCAGGTTCTTATAAAAGGAAGATGGCTACCCACAGCTCGTTCCCTCTTGGCACCTGACTGGCATCCTCTCTGCTTTTATCGGCCATGATGCCAGCCACATGTCTGTAGACTTCCTAGTCACCACAACTGTGAGTCAAACAAGTCTCTGTTCTCCATAAAACACAAAGCCTCAGGTATTTCTATAAGCAACCCAAAAGCAGACTAATACAGGCCCACCTAGTAAGGTTCACTAGGAAACAAGACTGCTCTCTACAAAGAAAGGCTTCCAACCAGCTTTTCTGTGCCCTAGTATAAACTATAGTCAGGAGACATGGAAGTCTCCAACAGTAAAGACAGAGAGGCAACCAGAATATAAAAAAGTCAGAATATAAAAAGTGTGAAATCTGCACCCCATCTGCTGGGCTCGGGTGTAGCTGAGAGAGTAGAAAGACACATTTCTAACCTGTTTGCAGCGCCAGTAGTACAAGACTCGAATAATTTTTAGGTTAAAAAAGAAAAAGTTGTAGAATTCAAATAAAAAAAAAAAAAGTAAATGTCTATATCCAAAAGATGTATTAAAATATAAAACTGGAACCAACTGATGGCATAATGGTTACGTTGCTGGACTCCCATGTAGTTGATCACGGTTCAAGTCCTGGACTTGGAGGCTTAAATCTCACAAAATCCTGAGAGGAGAATAAAAGAGAAGGGATTGTGGCATGTCTATTCCCCGGGAGTGATTTCTCACTTTCTGTCACTCTGTCTTTCTGGCGATTACATGTGCCCTATAGCAAAAATCTCTCTTAAAAAAATAAATAAAATAAATAAATACATTTAAATATATGTGTGTGTGTGTGTGTATATATATATATGTGTATATATATATATGTGTGTATATACACATAAAAGAAAATCAGATAATTTAACAGAGACCAAAAGGTAGGAAACAGAACAAACATGAGAATAAATACACAAACATACAAAAACCACCATTAAATAATAAATTCGGGAGATTTAACATTTGAGTAAAAGGAATTTGAGAGTAGAGGAAGGGAAAAAAGGAGGGAAAGAAAGGAATACAAATAAACTCAACAAGAAAAAAAATACAAGAACATTCTCCAAAGATAAGAAAGTTATGAATTTTCAGACTAGAACTGACCATTCAATTAACATAACTGAAGTCGGACTTATAATAAAACACATTCTCAAAACACTACAGATGAAGAGAAGGTATCGAAATCTTCCAAGAGAGAAAATAAGCTGTGTGGAAAGTGCTGTGATTCCGAACGGCATTCAAGTTCTCAAAAGTACTGGATGACAAGAGCAATGCCTTCAAAAGAAGTGGGAATGGATTATAAACTTAGAATTTCACATACAGTCAATCCTTCTACCAAGTGTAAGGGTGCAAGTATATTCTTCTGACATGTGACAGTCTTTAAAAATTATCTCCCATGCAATCTTTGACAGAAAACAATATGCAATTATATTCTATCAGAATGAGGGAACAAGCAAAGAAAGAAGATTCAAAAAAAATCCAAGAAATGCAATAAGCCATCCACGAAAAAGGCAAACAAAATCCCAAGATGACAGCAGTACAGCAGACCAAATAATTCATTCCTAGGAAAGCAAGAGAAAGAGCGATTCCAAGAAAGACTCTCAAAAGAAAATGAGAAAGAGAAAAGAGAGAAAAGGAAAAGAAACAGAGATTATTGACTATTTCTGATTGCTGGAAAGAGTTTTACAGTTCTGTCACAAGTGTGAGGGAGATAAATGGAAGCACAAACAATAAAGTAGGAAATAAGTCAATACAGAAAGATCAACAGTTGTATAAAGAGGAAATATAATCATAACCAGCTCTGTCTGTGTACACAATGTCACATAATCATAATAATGGAAAAAATAGAAGAGGAAATGAATATAAGAGAAGGGAAAGGACTTACATGAAAGGAAGTTGATAGTGACTAAAATAGCAAAATCAATAAACAGCAACATGAAGATAATATTTCAAAGGGGTCAAGAAGAGAATAAACTGTCTATCAAAGTATTTGCTGTTGACAGTGATCCAGGATGAGGAAGATGGGCAGCAAACAACTATTTATCTATTACAAGTCTAACTGTCCTCTGACATGAACTATATTCAGATGTTACTTAATTTTGGTGGGGGGGGACAGATTTTTGTTGTAAGATATGTGTGCTTACCAAAGAGACAGTGAGACAGAAAGCAAGAAATTACCCCCCGAGGGGGGATGGCCATGCCACAGTCCTTTCTCCTCTATTCTCGTCTTGGGATTTGGGGCACACACACACATGCAGCCAGCATGAGTTTCAAGCTGAGGGGTTCAGGACTTGAACCATGGTCGCTCATGTGGAGGTGAAGTGCCTTAATCACTACACCATCTGCTGGTCCCATGTTACCTTATATTTAACAATTAGGAGGGGATCATTTCCCTTTGGACTTCCTTAGTTTAGAACAATGCTTCCTCACCAATCCCTAAAACTTGTTTTTCAAAATAATACTAACTTTTTAAATTGAAAGACAAATTGGGAGCAGCAGATGGCATAATGATTACATTGCTGGAGTCTCACTTGGCGAACTGTGGTTTGAGCCCTGAACCCAGTGACTTGAAACTCACTCCAGGTGCGTGTACATGCTTGCCCAAAATCCCAAGGGGAGACTAGAGGAGAAGGGACTGTGGTGTGCCCATCCCTCCAGGCAGTGATTCCTTGCTTTCTGTCTGTCTCTCTGGAGAGCACATGCACCCTATAGCAAAAATCTCTCTTAAAAAAAAATAATAAAAAGAGAGAGAAAAGACAAATTAGCTTCCAGAATGCTATATATCCTGTATTTGTCTACTTAACTTGTTCCTCTATTCTCTGTATTAGCTGTAAACTAAAAGAGCAACCTAAATGACTGACTAGATTAAAGGTAAACAGTTTAAGCAGAAATACTTCTTCAGGTATATTGGGATACCACCAGGTCCTTCAAATTGCATCTCATCAGAAGCGCATACATCAGTGGGGTCACATTTGATAACTTGGTTAGGATGATGGCAGTCAGAAGCCAGTAGGTGGCATGATGGGTAAAGGGGCTGAACTCCCACAGTGCTGACTGCAGTTTGAGTCCTGGACCTAGTGGTTTGAAAATCATGCTGAGCACATGGTGCATTGCATGCTCAAAATCACGAGAGGAGAATGTAGGAGAAGGGACTGTGAGGAGGCCATCCCCCTGAGCGGTGAGCTCCCGCTTTCCCTCTGACTATCTCTCTCTGGCCAGTGCATGTGCCCTCTGGCAAAAGCCTAAGAAAGAAAGAAAGAAAGAACGAACGAACGAACGAGGGAGGGAGGGAGGGAGAAAGGAAGAAAGAAAGAAAGAGAGAGAGAGAGAGAAATAGAGAGAGAGAGAAAGAGAGAGGAAGGAAAGAAGGAAGGCAGGCAGGCAGGAAGGCAGGCAGGCAGGCAGCAATCAGACCAAACTTTTAAAAAAATTTTACCATTGAAACTTAAAAAAAAAAAATCTCCTGAGTCATACATTGGTATCATGCAAATATTCTTTTCCCATTTTCACCTTATTTCAATGAAATTAACAAATGCATATGCATGAATAACTATATGCAGTGGGTTGCAAAAGTGGTAACTGCTGTGATTTGTTTCATAAAAAAATAAAAATGACCTTGAAAGGAAAACAAAGAGGAAGAATGAAGGTTAAGAGGGGAATAAAAAAAAACAAAAAGAATAAAAGAAAAAGGAAGAACAGAGTAAGGAGGGCTTCTCAGTTAAATACCTGATTTTGCAAATGAGGAAAATGATGGTCAGAGAAGTGAAACGTCTTGGCTAAAGTTACAGAAGCTTAGAAACAGGTCCACCAATTTTTCACTCAGTGCTTTCATATGTTATAATTAACTTCTCTAAATGTAAAATGTGTAATATGTATTAGATTTAAAAGGCAGATTAAAGACATGATTGGTACCTGACTTCCAAAACATACACACACACACACACACACACATATATATATATATATATTTGCATACAACTAAACCGTTCAAAAACATGTTAAATATATTTGCATTTAAACATAAAAGCAGTTTAAAATGATGTATACAGATGGCCCTTGACTCACAAGTTTCAACTTCAAATTTTGGGGAGTTGGTGCAAAAGCAGTCTGTGTAACTATACTTCTAGTTCCCATTCAACCATTTTGCTTTGTACAGAAGTCAATAAATTACATCAGCTTTTCAATATCTTTGTGTTCGATGATTCTGCCCAACTGTAGGCTATCAAAAGTGTTCTGAGTTTGTTTAAGGTAGCCAAGTCTAAGCTATGATGTTTGGTACAATAAATGTATTAAATGGATTTTTGGCTTTGTCTTTTCAACTTACAAAGAACTTATGAGGACATAACTCCATAGTGACTCGAGGAACATCAGTATTCCTATATCACTACTTTAAAATGATTATTATACTCAAGGGCCAAAACTCAGTAATAAACAGAATAAAGACAAACAGCCCATAAATATGAATAATGCTCAGGAGGTGGTATGGCGATTAAGGTGCTAGACTCCCATGGAGCTGACCACGATTTGCGTCCTGGACCTGGTGCCTTCTTTCTCACTTTTTCTCTCTCTGGACAAATTAAAATAAAAGTAATAATAACAAAATGAAATAAATAAATAAATCTTTTAAAAACACACACAAGTTAAAGAGACAACACTACCTATTCATTTTTTTAAAGTATTCCTGATTGTGGTGGCAACAGTATTTTAGTTTTTCAATGGATAATAATTAATCTTGACAAAACTAGAGTAAAAACTTAATTATAATACAGTAAAACAAAATATAGAACAGCCCATATATTGGTAGAAGGAAAAAGTAACAGGATGGTAGATGATTGTACTTCCTCCCTTGCTTTTTTTTTCATATTTCCAAAATTTCCTCTGATGAACATTTGGAGAAACAATCATTCTGTTTCAACTGTTGGACTGAAAAGGCACAGTAAGAATGGCATAGCACCGGCTCTTACCCATAGCCTCGTTGTGGCAGACATTCCAGTATGTCGTAGCAAAGAGACAGCTGGTCGTTGCGTTCACAGGTATAGATGCACTCGAGTGCTACTGCCATCAGTTGGTCCTGATCAGGAATTATTTTCTGCTGTAGCTGGAGAAAATAAAGCATGCTGTACTAAATGTCAATAGATTTATAGTCAGTTTCTCCACATCCCAATATGACTGCCAATAGAACATTAATAGTGCAATTAATCACCTGCAGAAACAAATCTTGATTTTTCTTTAGCTTACAGACTTTTGGGGTCTTTAATAATTCTAGATAAAATGTTTTAATTATAGAATCAGCTCAAAAAGATTATTAGTAACCCATAAACTTTGTGTCTGCTAAAAAAAGATCTTCGATTTATGACTCATTCAAGATAGGAGAAACATAATGAATGAAAAAGCTGTTCACTAAATGTTTCTAACATTAAAGTCATTCAAACACAAACATATGTAAAATTTCTTAACTAATACTCAAAAGCACTGGGACTTACTTTCCAGTATGTACTATATACTACTCATCTAAATACACAGTTTTATCCTACTCGAAGAAGCCCAATTGTGATGCAATAGTATATACATCACAGAATATACTCGACATCTCTGATGCAGAAAGATGGCCATTTCAGGGCATTTTCTGTACAAGATACACCACTTCCCATTACAAACCAGATTCCCATGCTTGGAGTACTTTCTGAGAAACAAAATAAATGACAAATTGGGGCCTCTGTTTTCTCATCTATAAAATTGAGATATTAATGTCTTCCTAACAAAGTGGTTGTGAGGATTAAATAAATACACATAGAATGTTCATATTATCACAATAGCAGAAATCAAAATAAAAATTTGAATTATTTTCTTAGAACTCTTCTCAACAAGTTTAATTTCTGTAATACTGAACTACTGATTTTCAACATTTCAATAGAAACTCACAAATACACATAAAACAGGAAGGAAAGTGATGGGGGGGAATCTGTTCAACAAAGACATTTTCTCAGTAGAAAAATCCCATCAGTGGATATAGAAAAGAAACATTCAAGGTTACCATGGAGACAGTATTCTAACAAAGGTGGAATAAATGATGTAGATACATTTCTTCAAAATATTAAGAAATATATCATTAATTTGACATTACCACTTGACAAAGAGTTATCCAAGGTTGCAAACTGACTGGTGAAACAGAGACAAACAAGTTATTGATACAAAAAAGATAAGTACTATTAAAAATTAAGAGGAGAGTGAGATCAGCAGGTGGCATGATGGTTAAGATGCTGAATCCCACAGGGCTGACTCTGCAGTTCAAGTCCTAGACCCGGAGACTTGAAAATTACGCTGGTCATGTGTGCATGCATGCCCAAAATCTCCAGAGGAGAAGGGACCATGGTGGGGCTATCCCTGTAAGACATGATTTCTCACTTTCCCTCACTCTGTCACTCTCTCTCTCCAGGAAGCACACACGTCCTATAGCAAAAACCGTAAAATATCAGTTAAGAGAGGACTAGACAGAGGTGCCGTGGTAAAGCACTACACTCCATGATGCTGGCCCATGTGAGATGGTGGTTCCAGGTTCATATCTGGAGACTTCTCTGAAAATGCCCAGCATGCACACGTCCACAGTCCAGACCATGGGCAGCTGAAACACAGGTGGATTATGGCATCAGGACCCCATTGGGTGCTATATCTGTTGCTCTCTATCCATCTCACTTTTGCAGTCTCTCTCATTAAAAGAACTATTAAAATTAATTTAAAAAGCTAAACTTTCTTGACTTCTTATTGTGTGCCAGGTACCATTTTTGCTTGAAGTTTGTTTATTTCTCCCACGAGCAAGACAGAAACAGAGAGTCAGCTCCCTCAGCAGGGTCTTGGCCACAGTCCATCCCCTGGATCATGGGCATGAGCAAGCTCAGTGCACTGAGACTCGAACCAAGAACCCTGTCATGTGAGTCAGTATCGCACAGCATTGCATGTTACTGCTTTGCCACTGTCAGACCCCCTATTCTAAGTGCTTCGCAAGCACTAATTCATAAATCTTCACAATAACACTATACCATTAGTATTTGGTACTCTTCCTATTTTACAGAAAAGAAAAACTGAGGCGCTGGGAGATCAAATAATTTGCCCAAGGTCACAGACTTGCTAAGTTGTCAAGTCAGGACTCAAAACCCGTCAACTGGGCCCAGACGCTAAGCTAAGCGACACAGGCTCCCTGCATCCTGCAGAGAAGTTTCCCATGCAGAAAGAATGGATGAGACTGAGGGAAAATACGACAATCGAAATCATAAATCATAAAAAAAAAACAAGACGACAAAAACATGGAGTCCACTTTCAGTCAAGAAACCGTTTAGGAAAGCATCTGAAAAAGAAGTCAAACTCCTCGATGTTTTACTTTATTTCCCCGCTTCCTGTCTTCTCTAAGACGTTAAAGGGCCACTTTTAAGGTCAACGTCCTGCGGTAAGTATTTGGTCATATATGCTCAAAACCTTATGTTGAAACCCTTTAGTAGCCCTTCAATATGAAAGGTTTAAAAAATGAACTTTTTGCCTTCTGCTCAAGCTCCTTCCTGGCCTAGTGCCAACCCCCTTTTCTGGTCCCATGAATCATTTCCCATCTACACAAGTTTATTTCATCCAAATTAAATTATTTACCTAAGTATGATATTAGCCTGATTATATCTCCTGATCTTAGTCTACCCCTACCTTGAATGTCTTTCCAAGAACTTAGTCTTGCCATGTCTAATATTGGTCCACTAGAGACCAGTTGGTATAAGTGTGCATGACCAAGATCCTGAGAAAAAGGGACCAGTAGTTAGCGTAATGGCTATGTTGCTGAACTCCCATGTAGCTGACCACGGTTCAAGTCCCAGATCTGGTTGCTTAAACTCATGCCGGGTGCATGTGCGTGCGTGCCCAAGATCCCAAGAAGAGAATGGAAGAGAAGGGATTGCGGCCTGGCCATCCACCCTGGCGGGTGATTTCTTGCTTTCCATCTGTCTCTCTCTCTCTCTTTCTGGCAAGCACATGTGCCTTATAGCAGAAAAAAAAAAAAAAAAAAGATCCTGAGCACACGTACCCTATAGCAAAAACCCCTCAAAAAAAAAAAAAAAATATATATAGGTCCAATAAATAAGGCTTGTATCACTCTCATACACAAATCTCTCTGTCACTTTGTATTCCTATGGGACTTTTTTGATCTCCTCTTACATTATTCAGCCTATTTTTCTTTTTAAAGACATGATCTCACAATGTTACCTAGACTAGCTTCAAATTAGTGATCCTCTTGCCTCTGCCTCCTGGGTAGTTGGATTACAGGTACATCCCACCACGCCAGCTAGGATACCCTTCTTAATATACTGTGTGCAAGAATCATAATGTTCAAATATATGACACTTTTCATTCTGGCACTAGTAGACTCCCTACAGGATGTCTGACTTCATATAATCTTAGACATACTTTCTCTTACTTTCTGCCCTAATATCTCAATGGTCACTATTAAACTATCACTTGTTCCTTCTTGATCTAAAATAAGATAGCCCAGCGAGGATTTCCTAAATAAGTCCATGGAACGAGTTTTCAAAACGATGGACAGAAAATTATCGTCCACATCACACAGCAAAATAAGATGAATTGAATCATAATGTGAAAACAAAAATCTTAAAATTTGTACACAGGCAACTAGAAAAGAAAAATAGATAGTAAGACAGGATTAGCTGGATAACCCCAAAGAACCCAGCAACGAAAGAAATCAGTAGAGTAGAAACTTAACATAAAAAATTATATACACAAAAAATATAAGAATTCAGCATAGAAAAAAAACCTGCATGTATAACAGAAGCAGAGAAAACTTAAAACATAATGTATAAAATGCTTAAATGTTCCTAAACACTTTTTTTGGGAGGAAAGGTTTTTGTCATGGGGCACGTGCACTTGCCAGAAGACAGAGACAGAAAGTGAGAAATCACCCCCTTTGGGAGATGGCCATGCCACAATCCCTTTTCCTCCATCCTCCTCCCAGGATCTTAGGCAAGCATGCAAACTTTCCCGGCATGTTTTCGAAGCCACTGGGTCTAGGACTCAAACCGTGGTTGGTCATGTGGGAGTCCAGCAACATAACTTCTACACCATCTACTGGTCTCAACTCCTAAAAACACTTTTAAAAATATAAACGAATAGAATGCTATCTCCTATTCTTGGACAGAGTGACTGAATATTATAAAGATATCATTCTCCCTACATTAATGAATAAATTCAATACATCACAATAAAAATCCCAACAAGGGCCCAGTCACTGCAGTACAGGCAGGAGGGGTCTGCTGGGCTGATGTGGAAAGCCATATGGTAAGGCTCCACGTTTGCATCCCAGGTCCACCTACATGTGCAGGGCATATGGGTGAGCTGACTGCAGGGCTGGGGGTAAAATCACACACAAAATCCCTAGCGAAGAACAGAGGAGAAAGGACCACTGCATAGCTTCCCCCATTGGCAGGGGGTGGGAGGGAGTTGAGAGGTTATTTCTCCTCTTTTGCTCTCTCTCTCTCTCTCTCTCTCCCCCCTTGCCTATAAATGCACATGACCTATAGCAAAATAAATAAATGATAATTTAATGAGCCCTTCTGGATATTTTTAGAGTAGAAAGATTTTCAGAGTAACTAGTCAATGGTATTTCCAGAAACAAAAGTTCATTTTAATACTAGTGTTTTCCTGAGTTTTCTAAATATTTCATAGTAAACATTAATTTAGAAGTGAAAATAAACTAAAACTGCCCAATGAATTATAATTTGTAATCAGAAAGAAATGAAAAATATGCCACTCATGAAGCTTTGTAATATAGTGAGTTCTCATTAGGAGAAATATATATTTAAAACAGCTGTTCCTAAGCCTAGCTTTCTATCTCATTCACTAAATAAACTCAACGCATAATCCATAGCCCTACCACCCAAATCTCAACTCCTTTATAAGGATTGAGCATAGGAAATTCTTTTTAAAAATATACACAGTTCTCATGCTCAGACACATAAAAAACATTGCTAGTTTAGAAGACAGAACCATATGAAAAGGCACAAGATTTTGTTCCTGTCATCCCTATTCAGAACTTACCCAAGTTTCTTCACAAGTTTTACTTTTCAAAGAGGGATTCAAACAAAGAGCAATAGTTTCAAACCAAAGATGATGGTTGTGGGGTGTTATTTAAAAACTTTTTAAAGAGAGGGATGTTTTCGGCACATAAGATCGTTTACAAAAAAAATGGCAGCTGATTCCAGTAACAACACAAGGGTATGTTTCAAGATCTTTTTTATTGTCACTCTGGTCAACTCTACTACCATTTCCAAGTATTCATTCCCCACTTCCTATGAGAGAATTGTTTTCCTGCCTCGTTATCCTCAGACTTGGCCATAAGACTTTCCTCGGCCTGTGAGATGTGACAAAGTGACTTGAGCCATGGTTGAGCTACAGCTGTTAAGTGCCACAGTGCGGGTCTATTTAGTTCTTCTCCTTGTGCCACAGACAGAAATGGGGAGTGCTCCATCTGCCCAAGCGAGTAAGACAGGACAGAGCGGAAGCCCAGCTGCAGCCGACACGACACTCCTGACAAGCGGATGCAGGCTGTTGTAGGCTGCGAAGATTTACAGGTCATTTGTTAATGCAACATAACCTAGGCTAAGTGTACAAAACAGAAGCCATTGCTCCTGCTGCATGACTAAAAGCCCTCTGTGCATGATTCATGGAGGAGCTGAGGCACATTCTTGGGGTAAACAATCAAGTAAAATCAACAGTGTTCCCAGTACAATCCTAGTAAAGCGAACCAATGTAATCAAGTGATCTGAGCATCATAATGCAACCCGTGTCAATCGTTCATTCCTTCCTGGCCCAGCCAAGATGACTGAGCATGTGCTCCACAGTAAGTACGGCTATTCCTCCATGAATACAGACATGAGTGAGATAGAGGTGATCAGTGTAGGAAGCGAAAGGAGGAGAGTCAAGCATGAGAACAAGTAACGACAACACGGAGCAATAAGGGCTACAAGAGAGGCAGGTACGAAGCCCTGCGTATCCCGGTGAGTCACAGAAGGTTACACAGTGGAGAGAATCTGATGGAGCAGGACCTTGAACAATATGCAGGTAACTGTCAAAAGAAGAAAAGGGGAAGCTACTATCCTCTAAGAAAGAAACAGCCCATAAAACACACAGGGCCATGGAGGAACCTGGGAGAACCGGGGAGAAGAGTTAAGGCTGGAGAGGCGGACTGGAAGCAACCAGCTCAGCACCTTCCAAGCCAGTCGACAGAGCCCAAGGTTGACCCTGCAGGCACTGGTGAGCCACTGGAGACTTTCCATGGAACATGACAAGGTCAAATCTGCACTGTAGAAAAGAACAGCGTGAGAATTAGAGAGGTTGGGAAAGGAAGAGCCCAGCAACGTCCCCGTTCTCGGCTTTGACGTTCACATATTTCAGCAAAGGCAAATGGCTATATGTTTTATTCAAAAGGCACATGCTAAATTGCCGAGTAAAAACAACGGAAAGCTGACTGTATACAAAGGATTTACAAGACTCTGTAAGGAAGAGTATCACAAACAAGATTACTGGAAAAAAATTTAAATCACTTCTTTCCTCCTCATAAAACATTCATATTCAATCCATCCTGCTTCTTGGAGTATTCTGCTGCCATCAGCGAACCCATCCTGGGCTCACAGGAAACAACCCCAAATTTAAACCTGGAATGCTAAGTGCAAACTGCTTATGAGAAGATGTAGAGTTTAAAATAGCCAATGAACTGATACACATCAGCCAGATCACCTTTTTAGATACCAAAAATGTCAAAGTTATGCAATGCTTCCCTCTCTATCTTGATTACACTGGACTGTAACCATGTACCTCACCGGACGCCACATCATTCACAACCTAGCACAGGAAGTCGACTCAACTAAAATCGGGGATGGAAGAAGCCCTAAATGGCCTCTGCTCTAACTCCAACCTAATGTTTCTGGCCTCACTGCAAAGTCACTGCCTCAAGTGACTATGCCACCTTGCTTAAGTGCCCTCCAATGGAAGGAGAGTCACAATCTGCTGAGACACAGATTGTTTGATCTATACCTAAATTAAGAGGTTTTGGGGACCAGCAGATGGCATAATGGTTATGTCACTGGATTCCCATGTAGTTGAACATGGTTTGAGTCCCAGACCTGGCGGCATAAAACTCACGCCAGGTGCCTGTGCATGTAAGTCCAAGATCCCGAATCAAGAATGGAGAAGGGACTTCAGTGTGGCCATCCTCCTAGGGAGGGAGGGTGATTTCTCAGTTTCTGGTTCTCTGTCTCTCTCGTAAGTGCATGTGCCCTATAGCAAAAAAAATCTCTCTTAAGGAAAAAAAAAAAAAGAGGTTTTTCACACTGCAAAAGCACCCTGCACTTAACAAAATGATTTTACCATCAGCAAATCTGAACCACCATTTGAGCTCTTGAGAAATACAAAGCGATAAATACAACAATCTTAAACAAATGTAAGCATTATTAAGAATACATACACGATGTCTCTCTGAGAACCTACTGATTTTCATAAATATTTTTAAGTTCCTAGAGGGCAGAAAGCTTCTCTTCTCCGATTGGTGATAGCATAAAGTATAATGATTAAAGAAACAGCTGTGGAATTAGAATCCTATGCCTGACTCCAGGTCCCTTCACTCACTATGTAACCCCAGGCAATTACCTAACTACTTCACATCTTTTCCCATAATATTACAATAATAAAAGTACCTACCTCATAGGCTTGTTACAAGGATTAAATGAGTGAACACATGTACAATACTTGTATAGTAGCGATTCAGTATCTTCCTGGTACTGTCAGTTTTCACATATAATAGATAGCAAGCAAACTTTCAAATGAACCAATAGAAATATGCATAATTTTATGAACTTTCAAAAAAAAATTTTGAACTACTTGGTTGAAACATTTGTAAAGAATAAAATGACAACCAGCATAATTTTATGAACTTTCAAAAAAATTTTTGAACTACTTGCTTGAAACATTTGTAAAGAATAAAATGACAACCATTTCCTTTTCTGCTTAAAGGAAATTACTTGCAAGACCCATTATAAAAGTGTATAAATAAAACT